TAGCTCTGCTTGATTTTTCTTATTTTTCCTCCCTCTTTCCCTTCCTTCCCTTCTCTCCCCCTTTGCCCTCCTTCCTTCCTTTCCTTCTTTCTCCTTCCTTCTTTTCCTTCCTTCCTTCCCTCCCTCCTTCCTTTCCTTCTTCCTTCCTTTTTTCTTTCATTTCTTCCTCTGTGCTTCCTCCCTCCTTCCCTCCTTCCTTCCTCTTTGCCCTTCCTTCTTTTTCCTTCTTTTTAATTCTTCCTTCCCTTCCTTCCATTGTGCTTTTTCCCTCTCTCCATTCCTTCCTTCCGTGCCTCCCTCTCTCTTCTTCCTTCCTTCCTTCCTTTGTCCCTCCCTCCCCCTCCCCTTTTTTCTTCCTTCCTTCCTTCCTTCCTTTTTTCTTTCATTTCTTCCTTTGTGTTTCCTCCCCCCTCCTTCCTTCCTTTCTCTATGTCCTTCATTTTTTTTCATTCATTTTTTCAATCTTACTTCCCTCCCTTCCTTTGTGCTCCTTCCCTCCCTCCTTCCTGCCCTTCCTCTCTCTCCCCTGCCTTTTCCTTCCTTCTTTCCTTCTTCTCTTTCTTCCTTTGTGCTCCCTCCCTCCCTTCCATACCTCCCTCCCTTCCTTCTCCCTCCTTCCTCCCTCCCTTCCTTTCCTTCCTCCCTCCCTCCCTCCCTTCATTCCTTCCTTCCTTTCCTTCCTTCCTCCCTCCCTCCCTCCCTCCCTCCTTTCCTTCCTTCCTTCCTTTCCTTCCTCCCTCCCTCCCCTCCCTCCTTTCCTCCCTTCCCTCCCTCCCTCCTTTCCTTCCTTCCTTTTCTTCCTCCCTCCCTCCTTCCTTCCCTTCCTCCCTCCCTCCCTTCCTTCCCTCCCTCCCTCCTTTCCTTCCTTCCTTTCCTTCCTCCCTCCCTCCCTCCTTCCTTCCCTCCCTCCCTTCCTTCTCCCTCCTTCCTCCCTCCCTTCCTTCCCTCCCTCCCTGCCTTCCTTTCCTTCCTCCCTCCCTTCCTTCCCTCGTTTCCTTCCTTTCCTTCCTTCCTCCCTCCCTCCCTCCCCCCTCCCTTCCTTCCCTCCCTTCTTCCTTTCGTTCCTTTCTTTCCTTCCTCCCTCCCTTCTTTCCTTCCTTCCTTCCTTTCCTTCCTCCCTCCC